TTTAAAATCAAAGTGATAATGAGTTAACCATACAATATTCGTTTTTTAGTACATGTTAGTGTTTTTTTAATTGCAGTTTGATTGTGACAAGATAAAACAATGTTAAAAGTATGAAATATGAGATTGAAAACAACACTAATACTTTTTTTAAAACTTCTTGCAATACTATAAATACAAGTCCAAAACTTCATTTGTACATTCTCTCACCAAGGTTCAAAAGGTAAGAAAGAATTATTTGAAATCATATAGAATAGTGTAATCAAAATTTTGTATTTTTTGCTGAAGACAACTTTTAAAAATTAACGTTTGAGTATGATCTTTAATGAATAACAAGGCTTACGTATAATTAACTAGGTTAAATGGTTTGTTTTTTGTGTACTGGACGGCCAATAGTTGTATATTGTTATTTCTGAAATTGTTACGATGATTTTATTATCATGATTATTGCCAAAAATTCGGACAGAATAACTTTTACAAAATTAAAAGCTCTTAGCATTATTTGGATGCAACATTTGATGAAATTGCAATAATTCATTTCCTATTTTTGTTCATTGTTTAACGATCGCAATAATAAATGCATAAAACAAATCTGAATTTACAGTAATTTTATCAAAACATGGTTTTTCCTACAAATGGCGACTATATATTTTCTTTTATAAGAGTCTAATTGAAGCAAATTACCTACTTTGAGCTATATTGTGTGAACTAGATAAATACAGTTTTGAAACGTTCAAATTGTATTAAATTGTTATAGAAATAGACAGATTGGTTATATATTTACATGAGTTACTAACCACGTTATGCCCTGTTGAATTTAAATTAAAACAGCGTGAAAATATTCAAAAATGGGTCTTTTCTATGAAGACACCCAATCGGTTTTTCACGTGTGTAGGTGCATAAAACATATTTCGATGCTTTTCCTCAGAATAACAAATTGACAAACGAAGGAAAACACATTACCTTAAATTTTTCGGGGGAATATTTTAACTGCATTAGTTATTACGTCCTTCGTTAGAAATTTGGCAATTCTTTCCTGTCAAACCTTTTTGTCTCATTCATAAAAAAATACTAATCCAGTATTCGTTTTTATGGTCGAAATTGTAGAAAAAGAATATGAATCTTTTTGCTTTCTTCGTGCTATATTTTAGTGTAAAGATGTGAATTAAACCATTTTTTGGAAATTCTTGACCTTAAAACGCGAAGTCACAGTCCAACGTGCTGGAATGTACGCATTTATGTTGTTCTTTTTTGTTTTTATCTTTTATTTTTGTTTATTTTTGTTGCTTTTTATTTGTTTGTTTTGGTTGTTTGTTTATTGTTTTATTGTGAGAGAGAGTTTGTTAGGGGGTAAAGAAATTGTAAAGAACAGGTATACAATCTCCGCTGCCCAGTGCGGAGTGTTTGTTTGTGTTTTTTTGTAGGGTCTACGATATCAACATTCATGCAAGTAGCCCTCCTTTACACAATTTGTATGACAACATTGATTGTCTTCATCATATAGAAATAAAATAATAGATATAGACAGATGCTAGTAAGAAGATATGAAAATGTTTCAGTTGTGGTTAATTAGTGTACTGACTATCTATAAGGAGGTCGATGATGAAGATAAATGGCAGCAAATTAATATACATATTCAGGACGAGAACATTAATGTAAAATAAATTATATTAACCTTGCTTTGCACTAGACCGACACGCTGAGTCGAATTTTTCACGTGCTACGGTAGTTCACTTTTCTCTTTAGACCATTATATATGTCTGACTTAAACGGACAGCTGCAGTAGGTTAAAAGTTTAGAAATATAATCAAAATCCAATCGAAACATCAACACAGTACTTTTGGGCTTCGATAGTCAATAAAGGTATTGAATTCATATTGTAAATTCAGAAATTATTGCGTGCATTTAATATTGCGATTTTCGAATAATGTACAAAAAATGCGAGATTAAATATTGCAATTTCAGAATCTGCGTAGATATATATGTATCCGATTTCATAACTCGAGTTCTTGTGTAATACTTAACTAATCTCATTATTCGCATTAATTAAAACCTTGGGATAATTTCTGAAATTTACAGTACACAACATTTATATTTTAGGACACATTTTTTTATCACAAATATATATAAAACCATAGAAAATAATTTCTTAAAACATTGCAAAATGCCTCCTCAATATGTTCAGTGGTTTTGTGGTAAAGTCTACTTGACTAAACTGCGATGGGGCAAACAACGGAGTCCAAGTATTGCTGTGTGTCATTGATATATCACAAGCATATTTTCCTATCTTTATTTTATAATAATTTACTAGTAATACGAACATAATAATATATTAATTATACAAAACAATAATATACTAAAAGTTCGAAATTATGAAAAAATTTATGTATGCAGTTGTTTTTTTTTTTCTTCAATTAAATCCTTAGTACTGATTTTTGTATTAATTTCGTTTGTTTAGATAACCATGCAGCCCATAACTTGTCTTTTCTTTGCCATTTTCCTGTTTGGAATAGCAATACAAGGTAAGATTTCAACAAAAGCGGTACACACTTTAAATATGTTATTCCATTTTATCGTACAATGTAGAGTAAAATGAAAATGAAAGCAGCTAGTTTCATTTAAGAATTGAATGCTTCTTTTTGTAAATTAATTGGGGTGTAAAAGCATGACCGAATTCATTTTGTATGAAGCGCGGAAGCGCTTCATTCTAAAAATGTGCGCATGGTCAACGCTTTTAAAACCCTATAACATTACTAAAAGAAGCATTCAATACTTATAATTACATTTTTTTGCTAGGATCATGAAAACCCGATTTCTATCAAGTTTTTCTTTTATGTACCTGTGCACTTTATTGTGGAAGCTCGTGTTATCCATGTCATCATGAATGTTACATTTCATTTTGAAATGCAGGTTAATTTCAGAATGATGCGAGATTGCTGTTAGCTAATCAAAATAACGTATTATAATGAAACATACATGTAATGTAATTATATAGTAATGGCGGCAGGGTTTAGTCTTCGGATTGTTAAATGGCCGACATATATCCCAAAAACAACGGTCGTGATAGTCTGCTTGTAGCTTGATCGGTTCGTGTGGGTGATAGATTGCGACTTTAAACGGTCCCGAAAAACTACAGACTTTAAATTTCGTATTTGAGGATTTTATGCTAAGCTAGCATTTCAACAGAGGCTTCACATTAAAGCTACTATAAATAGAGTATGTTGCTACACTTAAGATTACGTGCATTCCTTGAATAAACACAACTTTACATTTTGTAAAGCTAATATGTTGATGAACAGATTGTGTTGTTAAAATTGAAATCAAGTCCAAAGAATGAAACTCAAGAATGTTAATACAAATCAAATACTCTACAGAAAAGAGATAAATGGCATTGATACTTTCTCAAGAAATAAAATGTTTATTGAAATATCAATTAAACAGCGCTTAAATGATGTTCTTCATACTAGCATTCATGAGTCTGCTTGTAAAAGGACGACCATTCGTTTTGCTCAGGATGGTTTTCATGGTAAATACATGTATCTATGCCTCGTAAAAACTGATGTATAATATTGCCCAAGACACATGAGACATGATAAAAAGAATATTCTGCCCGTCGAAATGCCGGACACAATACACGGTTTCTTAATAGTGTCGTTCATTCAACGTAAAACCATCTGTTTTTATTCAAACACACATATTTAGAGACTGCTTTAATGAAATGTCTATTTTTTCATTTTTAAACAATCGTTTTTCCGCTAACATTGTTTTTCATTTTATTTGATTTGTTTTCAGGAACAACTGCTAGATGCTATTCATGGGTAAGATAAAAAACGAAACATATTGATCTATTGACGATATGTTTTGCCGTTGAAAGTTATGTTTTTTCCTCTTTAATAGATTTTAGAAAGTTAAAAAAAAACTTGTCAGTATTACAAAAACATCAATTAGTAAAATAATCTAAACGATCTGATAATTAATCAGATATACCACGTGTGCAATCAGACAAGAGTCGCAGAAAAATAACCAAAACCATGGCAACGGGTTGGTACTTCCTGATCCAATAGTGACACCTGGTGACCCTCTTTATGTCTAATTTGATCGAGAAAGAAAGAAATATGGAGATAAAGTGTATGATTGCCAATAAGACAACTATCTACAAAGACTACAAACGAGGATGAAAATAACTATTTATCATCGTACGGTCTTCAAAAATGAGCAAAAACCATTCAGTATCATAACCTAAAATAGGTCCATTCGTTAACAAAACGTGAAACAATTGAACATAGAATACTAACGGCATAACTTCTGGAATAAAACCAATAACACAATCAGATAGCAACGAACGACAAGCACTGATTTACAGTTTCCTGATGACATATTAAGATCAATTTGGCGGGTGTAAACATGTCAGTGAGTCCTCAACCCTTCCATGAACCTAGGATACTGATGTAACAGTATTACCTAGGAACAGACTGTAAAAATCAGTTGAAAAGGGTTTAAACCTCAGATCGGCACTTAATACAACATCAAAGAGCAAAGAAAGACCAGAGATACAACATATTGTTAAAAGACTACGCGCATGTACATTCCATTTGAGCCCTTCAACAATGTCAACACTTTTAGTTATTCTTGAATATATATAACGTTTTCTTTTCATCTATCATCATATTTTTTTAGCCTAGAGTATGTCCCCCATGGAAGCGATGCATATCAATCCCATGGTACCCATATTATAAATGTGTTCAAAGATATAGCATTGGGAAAATAGGTCCTTATAGAATGGGAAATTATGGTAGTTGGAGTAGCTATGCAAGTGGAGGAGGGGGTTATGGCGGTAGCGGTATAGGTGGTTATGGAGGTAGCGGTATAGGTGGTTATGGAGGTAGCGGTATAGGTGGTTATGGAGGTAGCGGTATGGGTGGCTATGGAGGTAGCGGTATTGGTGGTTATGGAGGTAGCGGTATGGGTGGTTATGGAGGTAGCGGTATTGGTGGTTACGGAGGTAGTGGTATGGGTGGTTATGGGGGTAGCGGGATTGGTTACGGATCAAGTGGTTATGGCGATGGTGGTTATGGTGGTTATGGAGATGATGGGTACGGGTCTGGCGGTTCTGGTTACGGAGGAATCGGTGGTTATGGTGGCAGTGGAGGTTATGGCGGCAGTGGAGGTTATGGAGGTATTGGTGGTTATGGTGGTTATGGCGGAAGCAGTGGAGGTTATGGTGGTAGTGGAGGTTATGGAGGTATTGGTGGTTATGGTGGTTATGGCGGAAGCAGTGGAGGTTATGGTGGTAGTGGAGGTTACGGAGGTAGTGGTGGTTATGGCGGTTATGGCGGAAGAAGTGGTTATGGTGGATATGGCAAACATGGTGGTCATGGAAGGAAGAAAAGCGTCTGTAAGTATGATACTTAACTGACTTGTTGAATACCTAATTTTCAATTGTTATGTACGGAACAATATTACAAGCAGAATAAATATTATCAGTAAAAATGTGCGTTTTGTATATCTATTTTGTGTGTCGTTGTAGAAAATAATTGTCAAATTGAACACCTTTTACTTTTTTATGTTCTGATTATTTTATTGCGCTGATAGAAGAATAAATCAAACATTTCATGTTACATAATTTTGTTGAATTATTCTTTTTCCAAGTGATTATGACCTATGCCCTAATGCATACACTTTCAAAATGAATGGATATTTGTTATTTATAAAAAAAAAAGTAGTAATATTCTCCCCTTAGACATTAGGGTATAATTGAAACCAAATATCATAAAAATTATAATAATTCTTTTTGCATAATTATTTTCTTTTCTTTCTATTCACGAAGGAGTAAACAATGATTTTTATATATTTTTTGGAGTAAGATCCATAATTATGAAAATAAGAAGATTTGGTATGATTTCCAGTGAGGCAACTCTCTATATGAGACCAAATGACAGTCTACAATAGTACAGTATCTTATTGGCACCAAATGTTTTATCTTTTACAGATTAAATGAAAAGAAATGGACAAGACAGAAGTAGACCTGATATATCGAGTATTTTTTTTAAATAAATGTTCATTAAGTATTAATTTGTTTTTTTTTATTCGTTTAAATGATAGATGTTTGTAGACCTGCATATTCTGCCGTTCAATATAGAAATAAGGAGACGTTGTATAATTGCCAATCAGATGACTATCCACCAAAGTTCAAATGGAGTCGATAAAGGCATTTATAGGGATCCGTACGGCCTCCAACAATGTGAAAATACATACCGTATAGTCGGTTATAAAAGGCTCCGACACATTTGTTGGGGCTCAACCCTCCCCTAACCTTGGACATTAGTGTTACAGCACAACATAAGAACAAAATATAAAAATCAGTTGAAAAGGGCTTAACTCACCAGATTATTACAAAGCAAAACAAAACATCTTAAAAAAAAGGCCGGACGTGGAAAGGTATTTATACAATCCTTACAACAAAAAGGACACAAAGTACAGATCTCTGAGTACTCGCAGCTACTGACAGCTAGATCAAAGCCAATAACAACTTATAAAAAAAATATTGTATCTAAAACTAAAATATCAATTAGTACACATCCAACATCCAATGGATTTAGTGTAAAGACGACATAAACCGTCAGAGAAAAACACGACCTTGTGCAATGCCAAAATATATGTATCGACATAGTGTAGTCCTGTGAAAGTGCATATGTGCATAACAATGATATTTCGTATGGTTTTAATTTTCTGATAACAAAATAAATATATATACCAAGAAAAACAATATTCATAGATCTATTTACAGTGTTGAATTTGTTACCTTTAAGGTTAATTTTATTTAAAGGATTGATAAGTTTACCCGAATCGTATTTAAATTTCCGGGCTCGGTATACAACATCTCCGTAAAAACTAGGCTGTGCTATTCCGAAATAAGTTTCTTACAGATACAACCAAACTTGCAAACCAAATCTTTGTATCTATGGAAGAATTTAGTAATGGTTTTAAGCAATGTGTGGTAGTGAAATCCCTGACTTAATAATTTAACAGTAATTCAAAAAAATCCAAAACGTCACCACAGACACGAGCATAGCGAACTGGTTGGGATATATAAACACCGTGAGACGGTACCAAAGGAAAATCACCGTCTAAAATTTAACAATATGGAATCGTTCATTTTGAGGTAAATTTCAATGTAGAATTTTTCGTGTAAAACTGAAATATTTAAATCTAGGAAAGGACGGTTATTGCTGTTAATATTTGATTTATTTAAAGTAAGTTCCTTTGGGTAAGTTTCGGCAGTATATTTAGAGAATTCTGGATTATTTAACGAAAAAATGTCATCCAGATAACTTTTAATACATCAATTAAATGGAATTTAGATTGGTCTTTACTGAGATTGGTACAGGGTTAGGTTAGGAATATATGTGATTCATAACAGTACAGGAACAAGTCTGCTATTAAAATGGTACAATTGGTACTAACAGGAATACCTACATGTCGATACACTTTATTGCCGAAACGTACATAAATGGTTTGTTTTGATAAGACTGTGTGGAAGTGTAGTATAAAGAGTGGAAAAGTCAAACTGTCAACCGAATCAAACGGATCACCAAAAGCACGTAATTTATTTAAAACACCAAAAGAATTTTTTACACTCCAAAAATAGTTAATTCCACTATTTTCATATGTTTCATTACAAAATTTAATGATCATTTCTATGATAGTAGTTAAGGAACTCGTAAAAATCACTGAAAGATTAATAGTAGAACACTTACTAGAGGTCGAGATCAAAGGATATTTAAAGGGTTTTTGTGTAGCTTAGGTAACCAATATATAGTGGTGACCTTCAAATGTTCAGAGGAGGCTTAATGTATTTTTAGAAAAAAAAAATTTTTATTTCTATTTTTTTTAATTTTTCACAAAAGTTAAAGCCAAATGTTTTAATATAGAATTAAGATATCGTCATATTTATTCGATTTATCAATGTGCTAACATGAGTTAACAAAATGATTCTGACTTACAATTATACATAGGGCAATTTTGCAATCATAATGAAATGCCAGACTTGAAATGATATGCAGAATACACATTGACTCGAACCACGAAGCTGACACAACATGATGTTAACAAGCAATTTGACAAGGATACGATGCTATCATCAGAATTAAAATGAAGAGTAAGCTTTGCGATATCGATATTGACTTGCAAAACATAAAATGTCAGACTATCTTGATGTTTTGTCATTTTATTGATTTTGTATACAATATGTTGACGTGAAACTACACGACGAAAAGTCAATACTTCATGGTGTTCACATGCCACTGCAGGTTGCATTTGTAAAAAAACAGCTGATTTACAAACCACGCTTCTTCTGGGGAGATAAATAATATTCATAGATAATTTGTTTTGTTTACCTACTAGTTCCAAGATATGATCTCAATATTTCATATCATAGAGGCAATTGGGAATTTTACCAGTACAAATACTATTGTATAGCGGATGAATTGAATTCTCAGGAAGACTCGAGGGTAGTACAGAATAGTTGTATAAGGCCCCACCAAATTAATTTCTAGTTCTTCGGACACTTTCAGTAAAAAACGGTAGCGAGAGAGCAAAATGTGTTGTATTTGGTTTTTTTTGGAAGTTTCATTTATGGCAGACGAAAGAATTTTTTACTAGCGAGCGATATTATTTTTGAAATATTAAAAATCTATGAAAAACATTTTGTGCAAGCGAGCGATCAGAAATTACACAGTTTTGGTGCTTTCATGTTTTTATATATCTCATATGATCCTACTTCTTATATTACCCTACTTTGCTTCTTAATATGTTCTCAGACACCCTGTTGAATCTTTTCACAACATTTCTAGTACAAAAATGGTTAACTAGTAGCAAAGCGTGGACAACTTCGTGTAGTCTGCTCAAATAAAGATCCAACTGAACATGAAATAGAACATGATCATTGAACAGGTACACATCCATGTTTGATGACAGTTATAATTGATGCATTGTAAAAATAAGGAGGTGTGGTATGATTGCCAATGAAACAACTATCCACACAAGTTCAAATGAAATTGATATTTACAATTATAGGCAACCATACAACCTTCAACAATGAGAAAACCCATACCGTATAGTCGGCTATAAAAGGCCCTGACATGAAAATATGAAACAATTCACTTGAGAAAACTAACGGCCTAATTCATAACAAAACAATTTACGAAAAAACAAATTTGACAGACATGAACCAACAACCAGTAAACTACAGGCTCCTGACTTGGGACAGGCACATATAGAATGGTATGTTGTTTCAAATAAATGTATGCAAAGCATATATGCATGCATAAAGCTTTTATATACAACTATACATATTTGTGTATGCAACAAGATGAAAATTTATTATGGACTGTCCTTCAAAAACTACATCAATTATACTACTACGTATTCAAATGCATCACACCAGATGCTATATATACTAATTAAACAAAAGAAACATTTTAATACATTCCACTTAATAGTAATGCTTTGCTGAAGAATTTAATATGATTAATTGTTGTTGGTTGCTTAACATCCAATGGCAAATATTTCATGCATGTTCAGGACGAGAACAAATTTAAATTAACAATAAACACAATCGGTATGTCCTGCAACAGAGGCCGTCCGGGACGAAGGTCAGTGAAGTTTGGACCGCCACGGGAAAATGAGGGTACATTGTACATTGGACAGGGACAGAAATCTAGCCTTGCAACAGGCCACCTACTAACCCCTCAAAGAGTTGTAGCAAGGGGTTTTAATGCGCAGAGTGTGGCACTCTCCTTACACGAGGCATCGGATTTAACGTCCCAATTCTTACCGGACATGGCTGTACACTTATAAGATACATCCCGCACAGCCATACGAATGCCCCACTCTAGCGAGGGTTTTACTTCCAGCCGGAGGAAGACCTATGATGACCATATTTCTTTCCCCAGTAACCCCAGGGGGAAGAAGAATTTTATAGCAATCAGACCTTTATCTATATGGGGATATTGCTCTGTGTTGAAGGCTATACTATGAACTTTACTGGTTACAAACCTCAACAAATTTGGTCTCTGGTGGAAGTTTGTCTCAATGACAATCATACAAATTCTAAGTTTTAGAAGATTTTGTAAATTTTTAAGTTGGATTGATGTGTTATAATAACTTATATTCAATTACCACAAACACTTTCTTGTCAAATTCCATGCTTTATAAATTTGTAATGATACTAGCAAATATAAATAAAAATTTCAAGGAAAAAAAACTTTTGTTATAAAAGATAAAAAAAAAAAGTAAAAATGTAATAGTATCATCGCGGTGCCATTTCAATGCATGAACCACCATCTTTGGGATTCTCTCTTCATGCATGTTATATTGTCATCATTCAAATCGTCCAATTCGGAGGCGTTGGTGCTTTGTGCCAAATAGTAGTTTTGCACGGAGCACTTTAAACATTTCGGCAAAATAATTGTCTAAATCACATTCCACTGCTGTGTTTGATAGTAAGGCCGTTGCCTGTGTTACATCTGTAACTACACATATTCCACTCATGTCTTACGTTTAGAATATATATCATATTATATTTGTCCATAAAGTTATACAAAAACGTTGTGAATGTTAGATCTAGATCGTTTTTGATGTCAATTTCCGTTTCTGTATGGCGTTACTTTAAAACGCAAACCTGATTAAAATTTTGGTTATATAAATTTAGTGACGGACGCTCACGGCTCCGTACTGGACACGGGTTTTTAAAAAAAAGTACTTTTTTCTCGTCGACCTTACACAACACGCGGGAAATCCGACGAACGAGGTATTAATTTGGCGTGGCCTAAGTTTAAACTCATGCAAGTTTAAGGCATACAACTGCTGACAATAGGCCACACAACCTTATGTTTTGACCTTTGCAAAAAATAGTAGTACATATGAACTTTTCATTATAGGATTTGATTTTTTACGAAACTTCATAGTAAAAGTGGCACAGTTCTAGTCGTAAAAAGAGTTCCTATGGGGAATTGCTTTGAATTAATTTACAGAAGCG